AAGTACGAGAAATATACGGAGAACAAAATCAAATGGGTGTATGTATTCTAAACTGGAGGGATAGCAGAAATGTTTTTGTTTTATCAACGAAACACGATAACAGTATGATAGATATAGCAGGGCGTAGAGAAACTAAAAAGAAACTAGAAGCCATAGTTAATGATAATCATAGAAAAAGTTCTGTTAATCTCTCAGATCAAATGGGTGCAGATTCTTATAATAATAATATTAATAATAAAGGTCTCTATTTTTTCTTCAAATTCATACAATACACAAAATATATAAATTATACATGCATATAATACAATAAGAAAGAAAAAATGCCGAAGATCAGTTGGTGCTGATTTCAAGAAATCAGTACTCTGCTTTTCATCTTAAGCAAGAGAAAAAAAATATAATATTTTTTTTAATGTTCTGTAACAATCAATTATAAACCATAACTAATAAAAACATTTAGCATTTAAATATTGTCCAAGAACTATCACACAGTCTTAGCAATTTAGATTTAAGAGATTTATTAAAAGATATAATCGATTTTAATTCCAATTCTTCATCTAATCCGTTATTGGGTATTGTTCATATAAATGTACAATATGCGGTTTTTTATTTTATTTCGAATTCTGTTTTAGATATTTTTGTAAATCCAAAACTATTGAAAAGAACGGAGTTGTTTCGAGAAGCATTTTTTTTGGTTTGGCTGCAAAAGTGTTACAAATATTTTTTATTTATCGTCAAACCTTGAAATTGTCACTTCGGTAACTGTCCTACAGTCACAATTTGTAGTTTAAACCCAAATATATGTAACACTTTTTGACGTATATACCTTTTAGAGTCATTTTTATAGAAAATAAATATTTAACTTTTTAGTTAAATATATAAAAAAAATTAGTTCTTACCAATAAAAATATTGTAGATTAGAAAGCTATGTCCCAGACCTCTCGCATCATTTCGGTAACACAACTTTTATGCGAAGAAATCGACAATACCGACTTAACTTGTTGTTTATTTCTTTCGAGTTCCATGTTCGCGCGTAGCGTATGTATGAGTTAGTGGCAGTGGTTTTTATGTAATATGGTAAGTTTTTTTTTAAATAAATTAATGAATGACTGATTTTTTCGGCGTATACTTATTATTGGCCATTTCGGTAACTACTTTTTCATCGAAGTTTTTGCCTCAGATAAGCAATATAATGTATTTTTCTTTTTAAAAAATAGGACATGTTTAATAACCTCAAAAATTTTAATAATCTAAGTTACTCCTAGAGGGAGCTAAATTACGAAATGTAAGATTTCGTCATTTCGGTAACGTCATTTCGGCAACATTTTTAAAAGTAATATTGTGTTACCGAAATGATATTTTGTTACAGAAATGATTAGTTTCTTTTTATTTATAGATGGACAGCGAAAAATTAAAATGTTTAAAAGAAAAATTAACACAAGATAGAAAAAATTCCTACGAATTAAATTTAAAAAATAAAGAAGAAAAAAAAAATAAAAGTAAAACTTTTTTAAATCCTAAAAAGTCTGAACTTTTTGAAGAAGAGAGGATGACTAAGCCTTCAACTTCAAATGGATATTCTTCGGCCCAAACTAGCATCTCCAAGCCGAAAATTCAAGTAAATTTCAAGTTCGAACAGAATAAAAGTAATGTCGAGCCGAAAAAAACATTGAAACTTGAACTGAAAAAAAAAGTAAATAATATCCACGACAATAATAATAAAAAAACAGCGCAAGCAAAAATAAAAAAAGAGTACTTGCAGAATAATAGAACACCAACGAAAATAAAAATTAAAAAGAGGAAATGTAACGAAAAGATGAAAGAAGAAGTAAGAAAAAGAGTTCAGAAACATAGAATGAAATTAACAGAGCAGCAACTTGAAGAAAAAAGAAGAAAAGATCGAGAGCGATACAAAAAAAAGAAAGAAGAAGGACAAGTTAAGTTTATAAAAGACTTGACACCACGACAGCAAAGAATAAAAAGAAAGGAATGGAGTAAAAACAGCAAAAGATATAGAGAGAAGAAAAAAATGAAAGGTGAAACCGAAAGATTTGCTAGAGATAATTCACCCGCAACAAGTGAAGATGAAGTTACAATTGAAAATCAGGACGACCTTTTTCATGAGGATCTTGCGGAAAATTTAGATGTTATGGATGTTGTCAAAAAGAAAAACACACCTTCAAGGCAAAAAAATGTTGGCCGACAAATAGTGAAAAAAGAAAAATCTTCATGTTATAGAAAATTAAAAAAGGCAGAATTAAAAATTAGAGACCTAACCAAACAGTTAGCAAGAGATCGAAAAAGGTTACAAAGGGAGAAATCTAAATTTAAACAATTTTTAAAACAAAAAAAAGAAAAAGAATCTCCTGAAACAAGGGTGAGTAAATTAATAGCGGATATCGAAGTTCCAGATAAAGTCAAAAGAAAGTTAGTTTTTGGGGAAGTTATTAAAGATCAATTAGAAGAAAACGCCAAAATGCTAAAAAATCACAAAGCTAAGAATACGTTATCGATTGTGTCTGGAAGCATAATAAATAAATATCGTTTAAGGGGCGAGACTTCAAAAATACTTTCGTACAAAATGCATCGCAAATTCATTAATAATTCCCAATACGAAAGAAAAAAACGTAACCATGCAGTTATCCAAAAGTTGTCAAAATCAGTGCAAATTTTTTTAGAAAGGGATGAAAACTCAAAAATGTGTCCAGGAAAAAAGGATTATATAACTAAAAATAAAGTTAAAAAACAAAAACGTATTATGTTGGATTCCCTTTGCAGCTTACACAAAAAATATTTAGCAACTGAATTCGCATTTCAAGTTTCCAGAACAACTTTTTGTAGATTTAGACCTTTTTGGGTAGTCGCTCCAAAGCAAAGTGATAGAGAAACTTGCGCTTGCTCAAAGCATTCAAATGTAGAAATGATATGTGCATCACTGTATAATGCTAAAACTATACCAACTAAGAAACCGGACGAACTTTTAAAAGCTATGGTTTGTGATGAAAAAGATATAGATTGCATGCTGCGCAATTGTCCTAGATGCAAAGAAAGAACAATTCCTGTAAAAAGCGAAGTAAATGAAAATTTAAACAAAATCATAACATACGCAGTGTGGGAATCAAAAGCCGAAAAAAGGGAAATCAAAGGAGAGTTTAAAGATGTTCGCAAAACAGTAAAAATTCAAAAAAATGATATTGTTAAAAACATTTTGAACATTTTACAGGTTCAATTTACGCCGTACATGAAGCATGTTTTTTTTATGCGACACCAGCAGAAAGAATTGCAAAGACTAAAACAGTTCTTGCAACCAAATGAACTTTTACTACAGATTGATTTTTCCGAAAATTATATTGCAAAATATGAAAGCGAAATCCAGTCAATGCACTTTGGTGCTTCAAAAAAGCAGATTTCACTACACACTGGTGTTTACTATTACAGAACAGAAAGTGATGCTCTTGTAAAATCTCAGAGCTTTTGTTCAGTCAGTGACAATCTAGATCATCAATCACACGCAATATGGGCCCACTTACATACCATTTTATTGGAGTTGGCTAACAGGTTTCCCAATATTACACAAGTACATTTTTTATCTGATGGTCCTACATCTCAGTATAAAAATAGAAATAACTGTTTCTTGATGTGCAAGAAAATTCCCCAGTATTTTACAAATATTAAGTCAATGTCCTGGAATTATAGTGAAAGCGGCCATGGCAAGGGACCCATGGATGGTGTAGGAGGATCACTCAAACGAAAAGCTGATAGATTGGTGTTGCAAGGACAAGACATAATATGTGCAGGTGACTTTGTACATAAGCTTAAAGAAAGTTCGGTTAAAATTTGGGAAGTTTTGGAAGAAGAGATAAAAGACGCAAAACTTGAAATTCCAAATAATATTAGTCAAGTTCCAAATATTATGTCTATGCACCAAGTGACATGGAGCAAAAAATTTGCAGACAAACTATTTTTAAGAAAACTTAGCTGTTTTGCATGCAAATTTGATGAGCCCTGCATTCATTACAGTTTGAAGCCATCAGTGGTACTAATTGCTGCAAAAACCAAAAGTATCCTTTTTATAAAATATTGAAATGTTATTTGCAAAAGTAGTTCTTCTTTTTCTTAATTACTATTTACCAGATTTTAAGAAACAGAAATTACAATCTGTTGGTGAAACCTCCAAACAAGAACAATATATTAGTCCCAATCTGACTTTGGCTTCAAAAAATTGTTCTGACATGGAACTCTCTAATGTCTCCAGTATCCTTTTTTAATATAGTTATAATTTTACTGCGTAGCAGTGTGCAAAATTATATCCTTAATAATTTGTCTTTAATTATTTATTTAATGAAAGTTCATTTAATAATACATTTTTACATAACTAATATGAATACACTTTCCTTAACATTGTGAAACAGATGTGTCGTCGTTTTCTTTAGATGAAGATGAAAAAAATACAATACCTAAAATTAAGATAATTTCAAATATTTTATTACAGACTTTTGAAAGGAATGTTAAAGAGACAAAAGGTCTTTGCTACGATTGTACTTTTAGTTTAAACATCCAAAATGAAGGACGCAAATGTTTCGACTGTAGCAGAACTTATCACCTTAAATGCATTGTTAAACATCACTTTAACAAAAATAGTGAAATATTTCTTTGCCCTACATGTTTTAGAAAATAAAACTAAAACACAATAGTTATCTAATTCCCCATTTACGTTTGCGTTCGTTGTTTTGTTGTTCTTTTTTCATTTTTATGGCAATAAATACATAGTTATAAATGTGCATTTTCTTTAAAATAGTATAAAAGTTATCATTTCGGAAACGTTGAGTCATTTCGGTAACGCCTGCAAAATAATTTTTTTAACATAATTTTTTTAACTAAAACCAGAAAAAACATTATAGTTGTTAATTATAAATAAACTATAAGCTAACAAGTTGAAAAAACACTACCATTAATTTCATTAGAGCAATTTAGAATAAAATAAAGTCAAATATATTGTACATTTAAAAAAAAAATAACTATTGCAACATAAGAAAAACAGTTTTAAACTTTAGCTACCACCTAAGATGACTTGTAGTAAAATACTATCATTTTAGGTTAGTTTCTAAAAAAATATAAAATTTAAAAATGTATTTAGTCCTATTTATAGGGCGTTACCGAAATGACTATTTTTTTGCTGTTTCACACCAAAAAGAACGATAAAAAAATATCTATTACTAATTAAGCTCTGCTTTCATAAAATCATAAAACTTAGAGTATGTAAGAACTCAAAACAATAAAAAACATAACTTAATTACGAACTTTATTTTTTTAGTATTATAAAAGTCAAATTAACCATTTATATGAACAGTAACCTATTATACTTTTGATATTTGATACGTAAATGAATTTTTGAATTGTTCTGTGCGATGTGGCGGAGCTGTAATTGTATTTTTGTATCTTGTATTGAGATTATGTATGTCAGTTCTGTATATAATTTTTTCAAAAAGATATGCTGGAAGATAGTTTTTGATAATTTTGTGGAAAAGACAAGCAGCATGTAGAAATCTTCTCTTTTCCATACTCAACCATTTTACATGTTTTAATTTGTGAGAAATAGGCTGGTGTCTTCTTACAACACAGATCAGACGAAGACACGAATTTTGAACCACCTGAATTCTTCTCCTGTCATCTGAACTAATACAAGGCCCATACACAACATCTCCATAGTTAAATTTTGATAATACTAAACTTTTACACAATATTCTTTTTACTTTGTTTGACAGACAGCGGCGATTATGATAAATTGTTCTTAGACTGAGAAATACTTTACTCACACAGGTGTTAGTATGTTTTGTAAATTTGAGGTGATTACCTAAAGTTAAACCTAGATTTTTTGCATTAGTTACAGGTTTAATGATCTCATTATCAACAACTATTTCAATGCTGTTATCCATCTCCAAACATACCCTGTTTGGACCAAAAACCACCAGATTAGTTTTTTTTTGAGTTTATATTTAATGCATGATTTTTTGCCCAAGCAATCAATGATTTAATATCTTTATTAACAATCTCAATAGCACTTGCTCTGTCAACCGGGTAAAATGAATGGTAAATTTGTGTATCATCTGCATAGAGATAAAATTTACAGGTATTCAGGGAGGTACCAATGTAGATGGTGTATAAAGTAAATAAGATTGGACCTAAGATTGAGCCCTGAGGTACCCCTGACAAAATGTTTAAAAAATCAGAGCTTTTTTCGTCTACTTTGACTCTGTCCATTGAGAAAATCGCTTAAGTGGTTCCGCAAGGTGAAACTTGAACTTCTGTTGACAACGTCTGTAGTAAATGCATATTTACTACATAAATCCGTTACAAAAAGCACTATAACAATAACTGACTTCAAGAAGCTCTTAGTAAAACATTTGACAACCGAAAAAAAACCACCAAAAATATCAATAACAACCGAAAGCATAAACACCACGAATTGAAACAACTTGAGGGTGAAAGTAAACATAAGAGGCGTAGAATATGTAAACAATATTTTAAAAAAATAACGATGAACACGGAAGAAAATTCGCTACCGACCGGACGAAAAAAGTTGACACGTACTGCAAGGGCTGTCCAAATAAGCCTTCTTTATGTTTACCTTGTTTCAATCAAATTCATATCAATACTGAGTAAGCAGTAAAAATAATTGACTAGTTTTGCAATTGCTAAGTTTCTTTGTAATACCAATTCATAATTATTTACCTATAAGTATATCTGTTCTTTTACTTGAAAAAATAAACAAATAAATAACATTGTGTATTTTTTTTATATTGGGTATTTTGAGACCGGGCCACAAATCGCTATATTTATAAATCACTCAAACTGTTATGAAAAAACTATTGTATGAAGTCTTGCTGGTCCCTTCAGTGTGAAAAATACACACTTACTTAAACCAGCGGCCTGATGCGATTAAATATTTGTGCTGGTCCCATCGGACCAACGCTGCCCATTAAAATAAACTGTGCTGGTCCGATGAGACCAGTGGGCAGGAACGTGTTAAAGTAGTTTTCAATGCAGTATATTAGTGCAAAATTTAAAAATTGGTTATAGCCAAGGTTTCTGAAATTTTTATGACAACATTAATGTTTTACAGGTGACAAATGTGATATACTAAGAAAGATTAAATATATTACGTAGGTGACACCAGATCAAGTATTAGATAGAACAAAGATCATGCAATTAGTTACCGATGTTCTAGTCCATAAATATCGTAGCACAATCTAAATCTACTACTACTATCCTAAATGAATACATCTTAACTAAGAAATATCTCTATAATGGCACCTGACAGGATGCGCGAACGTCATGAGAGAAGTTAAGGGTTTAAAACTATAATGGAAAAGATTAGTCGAAACTTCTATTCATCTTAAAATACGTCTACAATATGATCTAGAAATGTAAAAAAATAGGAACTATCAAGAAAGTGGGCCACTAAAGAGGTACAACAATAATTATATGTTCCAGAATTATGCTGCCGAACAAAGTCGATTCTTAATTGCAAAAAATTGCTGTCGAACCTCATAGCACTATTTAAATATCATGTATTTTCTCAGACTGTTCGTCTTTTTTCTTGTACAAATGGTCATCTTTATATTATAAGTATTGCAAAAAACTGATTGATCGACCAAGCTTTTATTGTATTGTCATTATATTAACCAAGCATCAAGTATGAATTAATTTGAAAAAAACCAAATTTATGGTAATCACGAAATCAAAGAACATCAGAGCTAATCTTGTAATAGACAATACAACGATTGAGCGTGTTGCCTGTTATAAATATCTAGGTGCTTGGATCACAGACGATACTGATCAAACAAAAGAGATTAGATGTAGAATATAAATCGCTAGATCAGTCTTTAATAGAATGCGCAAACTCTTTTGCAATCGTGATATCAATATAAAGTTACGAATACGAATGCTGCGGTGTTATGTCTTTTCTACCCTGTTATATGGAGTTGAGGCTTGGACACTAAAACAGTTGACCATAAAAAACATCGAAGCTTTCGAGATGTGGTGCTATAGGCGCATTCTCAGAATATCATGGATGGACCGCGTCACTAACACGCAAGTACTCCAAACTTTAGACAAAAGATGCGAAATTCTAAATGAGATAAAAACTAGAAAGATGGAATACTTGGGGCACATTGTGAGAGGTGAAAAGTACGAACTTTTAAGAAACATCATGCAGGGCAAAATTAAGGGCAAAAGAA